GCATGCATAATTAATATTACCTAAAATTCAGAAATAAACAATTTATTTAGACTCAAAGTGCAATTGTAATATAAATGTCTTTGTATGTTTATAATATTTTCTACTGTTTCAGATTATTTTAGAACTGTTAGTCTGATCATCAGCTTGATTGCACAGCATCGGGCATTAAAATAAAATGAGTTGCGTACATGAATGACTGTAACTGAGGTGCTAGATGCCCCACCTTACCCCAGTGGAAGGGCTTGTTAAGCTTGCTTACTTGTGCATGAGCTTTTTTAAAGTCATATATGCTGGGTTTATGTGATAATTATCATGCAAGATGTGCATACCATTCTTACACGCGACCAACTCTACCAAAGTTATGAAAATTGGCTGGCCAAAAATCCATTAATTTAGCTTTTTAAAACATTTGTGTGGGGTAGACTTTTAATGTTTTATGTGCTTATATGACAGACTCTTGGCCGTATGTTTATTGAACAACGTTGGTTGTAGGGAAGTATTTCAACTGAAACACCAATGTGAAACAAAAGAATTTTCTGAATGAGAAATACTTGTGATAACTATTATGATTTAAAGAAATAAAATAAATGTAAACAAATGTTTAATTTTTAATTCAGCCTCTTGTCTACTTTGTATCCTCAACAGAAACAATTTGACCTGCAACATGAGCACAATCTTTGCCTTTACTGAAGGCCCAATGATATTGGCTGGCCCACCTAATGAGATGTATCCAGTATGCTTTACTTTGTATATAAGTAGTTAAGTGAAACTGGAAAATGTCAGGAGTCCACTTTCCGTAAGGTTTTTCCTTGCATTGTTGTATCTTGAATATTTTAGAACTATAAATTTAATTTTTTTTTTTCGGGGAGTTCAGAGCTCTACAACTCTACAGTTGCGAGCGATGGTTGCCTCTTGCTCAAGTGGAGAGAGGATACAGAAGGGGGACAACTCACCGGTTTTGGCTGGCTAGGTACTGGCTTGGCGCTTGGCGGCATGATTAGACCGAGGGGTGAGGGGATGCCCTCTGACATCCAAACCATTCATTACAACAGCAATATTTTTTTTTTTTTTAAAAGGCCTTAATGCCTAGAGTGGGCTTTATTTTGTACCTTTTGAAGTCTTTGACCAGATTAGATAGACCGATAGGTTTTATGTTGGAGGGCGAGTTGGAATGAAGAAGGAGTTGAGTAATAGTCAATCTCTAGATCATGGCACTAACCCAATGGGGCTCCGTCTGACTGACTCAGACACTTTCCAATTTTGAATGGCAGGGCCACATAGTTAAAGTTCTTGTAGAATACCCATTATAGGGATTGTGTGTGTGTCATTATGTTAGGACTGAGCAAAGATTCTAGAGCTGGTACTAATTAATTTGAAAACAAATTTTTTCCAACAAAGCTTTTTCTTTTATTCCTGAACAACAAAGTATCGGATACAATAGTATTACTAGTAACAATACTGTATGGTGACAAACCGTGAAAGGTTTTACTTGTTTTGTTTCACTTTCATCAATCCATATCATTGGCTAGGAAAAGCTCTAATTTTATAGAGTATGAAAACACTCAAATGGGGCAAATTCTTCAGAAGACAATGTATTATATGAATATATACACAACATTTAGAAGAGATTGACAAGAAATTTCTAGAGAATTACATTTTTAATTATTTCTGAACAGAAAGTTGTAGGATAATTAAATATTGTAATCGTCTCGCTAGATTTAACATAAGATCTACCTGGCAAATTAAGGTACAAATTAAGCAGGAAACCAAAGAGTAAAGAGGTAAAATGGCTGCCTTACATCATGGTAAAAATTATTAGAAAACCAACCAAAAAACTGAGGTGCAGGATGGACACTTAGCAAAACAGTTAACAGCATCTGGAAGAGAAGAAAACATTTACTCAAAGAAGCTAGGTAGAGGAGGCAAGAAAAAATGAAGTTTGTTTCCTCCCTGATTACTCAGGTTTGTAATAATACATCATATACCATCAAGGTGAAGTTTGGTTAGCACACACATTTTTCTAATAAAGAAATGGAACAGTAGAGGTAATATAGTATGATTCAAGGAGAAAATTATTTGTATTCGAACTCCTCACTTCTAAACAAACACTACTGTTGTTTCACTTTTTTCAAATATAACTATGTATTTGATAACTGCAATCAATTGTACCATATCATGTTCAACAATACAGAATATCAAAATACTTCGTTGTTTCAGTACAATAATTGCTTCATAAATAATCAAAATGCAGTCTTGTATATAGACGACATGATTAGCATACTAGTGTGTATAACATTTAAAAAAAAAACTACACTGAGAAGACATCTGAGAGAACTCTGTAGCTCATTACAAAGATAGTAAAGGGAACACCATTCAGGAATGAGCTTTACTGAAAGTAGAACTATGAAGTAAAACCTCGGAAAACATTCATGTAATTGCTGAAATTTGTGTCAAGGTACCAAAACAAATTGATCCATGGTACATTTAAGTGCAACAAGTAAACAATTAGGCCACAAATTTTTGTTGGAAAAAAACTAACTTGTGCAGTGATATTGAACACTTCATAGACAGTTATACTTTTAGGGGCACTCAAAGTATAGTGAAAGCATGCTTTTATTTTTACCATCTTTCCTGAACAAACCAGAGTGAAGCGACAAACATAATGTCACAGAGAAGAAACCGAGATGAAAGAGGGAAATACTTAACTTGCATGACACATTCCATACTCAGAACCAAACCATTGCACTGCTTTGTTGGCCAAGGTAAGGTTCCTGACCTAAAGATGTTCTAAGAGTCACTCTTTCAGCTACTAGAACAATGGCGTCTCCAGCTAATTAATGATATGTTTTAACAAATTTAAAATACTCCATTCCAATTATGGGGGGAAAAATCACATTTAAAAATTAGTCAAGAAATTGAATTTTAAATGCTTACTACAAGAGAAACAATATCCAACTTACTAGGTTTGTGCATGTGAACTGCACAGACTTTGGTTCCTCAAATTATCCAGAGCACATAACATTTTAAAAATAATTTAACTTTCAGGATTTAAAACCAACATACTGTCCTACTGTTGCAAACAGGTTTGTTGAGTTAACTTTTGTTTTAGTTTCATGATAGAAAATGTTTCACTGCAATCAGTCAAATATAAGTTTCCAAAAAATATCATTCTGTTAAGAAGGGAACTACCAGTGTTAGTTGTGATTTGAAAGGAATTTTGCAAAACAAAATGGCAATGACGTCACAACTTTCAGGTGTTTGAGCCAAAGACTGGCAACATTTCAAATAAAGCCAACAAAAGATGTGTCAAGTACCTCAAAATCACAAACATCAACCAAGAAACAGAGGTAAGTCAGAGTGCTCAAACAAATACTTTTCTAAGATGAACTTTGTATTACTTGCCTGTTCCGGACATCAGAAAAAGAAATAACCTTTCATGTCTAGAACATAACAAGTGAAAATAACTGTAATTAACAATTAACATTATTAGGTACCCTATGAACATTAAGAAATATTTACTTGTATATACAAAGTTAAATCACATAGTCATAAAGTAAACATTATAGAAAGACAAATGTATAATATTGAATATGGAACAGAGATGCCATATTCAGACCAGACCAGCCCCTTCAATAAATCACTAACTCTTGCAAAACAGTATGATAAAACTATTACATGAAGTTCTAACAGTTTATTACTCAAAGTATAAGGCCCATTGTCACTTTACTGGACTCCACAACAAAACACAAGTTGCAACAATTAATCACATTAACGATGTTGCAGGAGTCAAAGAAAACAGGAAAAGAGAGAACATCTCACTTTGAACAAATCCAAAATTGATATATCAATTGTCAAATTTGATAACACTTACTTTGACAAATTAAAGTTCAGTAACAGGCTCACTTGTTGTGAAATGAGGTTCTTCGTTCTTCAGAAATCAAATGTTTCCAATATTTTTCTTTCTAGAAATTAGAGAGTAAGTGTTGCAAACTGATTAACTTGAGGGTTAGCCAATTGACAAATGAAACTGCTATGGTTTTTACAGGGTTTCAATAACTTGTTTCTGAATTCATCTCACATTAATTTTAATTAGATCGGTACTGCATTAATTATTTTTCAGTTAACTAAGATACATGTCAAAAAATAAACTATTACCTTACATAACTGCTACCGTAACAAACTGATCAATCAAACAATTAATCAATCTATAATAATACAAGGTATAACCATTTGTATGACATCACTCACAATGAAATAGATGCAGAACAGAAAATAACATAAAGTAGGTGCTCCCCCTGATTTCTATTGCAGTTTGGGCTAAAGATGACATTTCAACCTTGTAAGCATGGAGATTGCATACTGTCTATTGCTTGCTTTATCCCATTGACTAATCTTTTACACTGTGGTAGTTAAAAAGGGAAACAGGTATGTGAGGGCATATCAGAGTATCATACAGCTACTGAATTCAACAAATATTTATGCATCATTGTTAAATTATTTGCTTCCAAGCATCCATGGTATGGAAATCCATGTACTGCTATTTATGGTTGGGTTTGCTGAAGAGCTTGGGACAGTCCTCGTATCACATTTTTATCCAAATTTACAACAAAGCGGTCCAGACTTTTTTTAAAATGGAGGAAAATTACAGGCAACTCCAAGTTAGAGTTGTCCAAAACCAAAAAGCATGGGTTAAATCTGTAAATATTGAAGAGAAAAATTTCCAAATGCTGTATAACATACTCTTGGAGTAAAAACTTACAAATATACAAGTTATTAATTAAAATCCACACAGGATTATTACAATAATAATACCCCATAAGAAAATAATGGGTCCATAATATGTAGCATTGGCAAAAATTTTAATAGAAAGAAAGTTGAAAAGGAACAATATGATTTATTAACTGTTACAGTGCTCATGTAACATTAGTTTCTATGTACAAATATTGATGGATTCACACTTTTCAGAAAACTATTGCTTAAAATACAAAGTAATACAGGAATGCAGTGTGGAACTAGGTTTGGTCAAATGACAAGAAATGTATGTAACATGTAACCACTCAACTTCATTCTGCATGTCATCTCAATGACACTATTCCAAGATTATAGATAGATATCAGATAGTAGTGGACCAAAACAACTTCTAGTTAACTTTTCGAAAATATGAATCAATCGCCTTCTCACTAAACTTGCAGGTTATGTAAAGCCACATCACATCGTTTAAATCACAAACATAACATAATGTTATGGCACAATGTTGAAGTCCATCACATATTGACACAGTTCATTATTACAAAATTTTGTACCACCGAGTGATGTGACAGCACAATGTGATTGCACTGGATGTGCTCCTTAAAACAAGACTGGAAAAAGAGAGAAAATGACGTTTACAGGAATTGACACACATTATTACAAAGTGCTCAAAAGTTTTATTGATGTTGATGTAAAAGTTCTTACCCAATGTTTAAAGAATTTCCTAAGAATTCTGTTGCTGATCTGTAAGTCGAGTTTTAAACAACACAGTTTCATCAAAAATGTATTGCTTTAGAGTCTCTTTGGGCAGGTCATCAAGCTCCATTGAAAAACGGAATGGTTCCTCTGCTACAGGCTAGAAAAAAAGGATGCACTCTCAATTTAGGGCTTCATAATTTCTGTGAAAAAATAAATTACCACCAATATATGTTCAGTGGAACCCTTAGAGAAAACAAAAAGGACCAACCTCATCAGCTGGGTCATAGTACTGCTCTAGGTAAGGGTGAGCCAACGCTTCCTCTACGCCAATGCGATTGTGTGGATTAAATGTCAGCATCTTGTCAAGAAGATCTAGGGCTTTTGGATCAGCATTTGGGTACAATTTTACCCATGGAACTTTTGGCTTGAATGGTAACGACTGCAAGTAGTTCCTCGCCTAGAAATGGAAGAACAGCCATTTAGGAGGTAAATACAAAGTATATCCAAACATGATTATTTTATAGCTGCCCTCAAAACCTAGATCAAACCTTTTCATTAATGATGCATTCAAGATCTTCTTGCGTTGGTGACCCAAGGACTCCAAGGATGTGGTTTAATTGATCAAGATAATGCTTTCCAGGGAAAATCGGTCGGTTTGACAGCATTTCAGCCAGAATACAACCCACGGACCAGATATCTATTGACTTATTGTAACCCTACAAAGTAGATAGAAATACTATTACAGATTGAAAATAACATAAATTGAGTGGCAGTGGTCAAATAAAAACCAAGAGCCACCCAAAAATCAATTTCTACTTTGCTTATGAGCTCACCTTCGAATTGAGCATGATCTCAGGTGCTCTGTACCATCTTGTGGCAACATACTCGGTAAGGAAACCAGTATGATCATGGTCTGGATCAGCTACTCTTGCCAGACCAAAGTCACAGATCTGCAAATGTGTCAGTATAGTGATAAAAATCAATTTTCACATTGTTTAAGTTCTATAAAGAGGAAGGGAGAAATTTTATTTAACACACCTTGAGATCACATGTTGTATTTAGAAGCAGATTACTAGGTTTAAGATCTCGATGCAAGACATTTGCTGAGTGAATGTATTTTAATCCACGTAGAATTTGGTACAGGAAGTAGCAAATGTGATCATTTGACAACCTCTGCAAAATAAATAGAGTTGGGTCAATTAAAAGAGCTCAAGTCTTCGCTAAAGTAAAAGTTGTGATAAAGACAGGAGAATAACTTCAACAGCTCATTTACTGTATTTACCTGGGTTTTCAGAAGTTTGTATAAATCTGTCTCCATGAGGCATTGGACAATGTACACATCCCGCATATCATCAATGGTAGTAGCTCGGAGGATATCACGTATATCAATAATCTAGTGGAATGTAAGAAAATTATTAGAATAAAATCAGAGCAAGAAAGAAAGTAGTGAACACATACTTTCGTCATTATAAAATTAACATCACTTACATTTTCATGTTTAAACCTAGTTAAGATCTTGATCTCTCTTAACGTCCGTTGGCAGTACGTCTGATGTTCAAAGGGAGATATCTTCTTTATGGCCACCTTTGTTTTGGTTTCATCATCGTAAGCGGATCTGCAACAAGAGGAGACAAGTTTCAGTCACTTCAAACTGAAAATCACAACGGCGAATTGTGGGTGGGGGTCTGAAGACGTGGGAGGGGGGGGGGAGAGGAGTGTGGAGCGGCGAGGTGCGGAAGAAGAAGAAGAATACGGCAATAATTGGGCGCGGCGGATAGAAGAGGGCCGGCAGGGCCGGGGGCGGAGCGCCTTGAGGTCGAGCCTCGGCCGCCCGGTGGGCACACTGGTCGAGCGGGTTGCCTACCCCTACTCTTACAGGCTGAAGCAGCAGCGCAGCAGCGCGTGGCGGCGCATGGCGCACGCCCGCCCAGTGCAGCGAGGAGCGCAGCAGGAGAGCCGAGATGGCCGAGTTGGCAAAAGCGGCGCGTGGGGGGAAGCGGAGCAGAGTTTACGAGTCAGGGAGGGAGGACCACGACCAACCCCGGGGCCCCGGGCGCGCCGCCCTAAACAGGGTCCCACAGCAAAGCAACGTCGCGCTGGGGCTGACTCTCATAAGAAAGGAGAGCAGGGGCGGGGAGAGGGGGAGGGG